ATGGCAAAATGTAGTAACTCAGCGAATGATAGAGAAGAGGAGAGGGAGCAACCGAAAAAAAAAAACGAAACATTCGTTCACCTTAAGGTGATACTCTAAGGAAGCCTTAGCGTGAAACTTCAAAGGCACAAATGTCAGCTTCAACAAAACATACAAATTTGAAATTGCTTATCTCTGTTTGTAGTAGCACAGCAAACAAGGAGTAGCAATTTCAAATTTGTATGTAAGGCTTCCTTATAGCGAATTCGTTTATTATTCAGTTCCAACCTGGATCGGGTATCAAGATTGGGTCTGCTTGTTTTCTGACAAACGTCAGTTTGCTCGTTTGTTTTTAAAACCTAGCTCAGGTTGAGGTTCGCACTGACAAAAAGTTCGGTTTTGCACTGGGTTGGAACTGGTTCCAACCCCGATAATAAACGAATTCGCTATTAGAGTATCACCTTAACTAGCGCGTTTACTGTGAAAGCATCAAATTTGCTCATGAGCAGCAGATAATGCGATGCATGATTCGTTGCGAATATCTGTCTTGTTGCAGGGCCTGCTGTTGGAAGAGAATAATATTTTGGGCTGAATATTTTCGAAAATAAAGCTGAATTATTCTAATGTTCTTAAGAGATCTCAACAGGTGGTTTCTTATGATTTGTTTATTTGTTCAACATTTTTTATTTTGTACATTCTCAGAGTTTATCTCATATCATAGAATAAGGTTGAAAGTGGTCACTTTTCCTTTCTACACAAATACATGTTCGTTTTACCCAGCACTCTTTATATATTTTCGTCTTGCTAGATTATGTTGACATAACCCAGCTTTCTTGTTCGATAAAGGTCAATAAAATTAATTAATATGCTGATAACAGTCCATCTCTGACTATGCTTTGTGTAGGCTGTCAAATAGTATTGCCTTATCAAGCGCAACACCATCTGTATTTGACATCGAATTTATTATAATCTCTGATAAATTATATGATATCATTCTTGCTATAGCCAATCCAAATTTGAGCGAACTGAAATAGTTCTTGTAATTGATGAACCTATATAAATATTTCAACTGGCTGTTGGGGATGACAGTTGGTAGATAGCATATATAATTTAATTCTATGTGTGGCAACTCTTAAAGGCCACCCACATTAGATCCGTTTGCGTTGACGTAAATTTGACCATTAGACAATAGATTTAGCTGTCACTTTGCCGCAACGCGTCCGATTCGGATCTAATGTGCGTGGGCCTTTACGCCTTATTGCACTTCCAACCAGTAAATTGAATTTTCCATTCAACATTGTTGGAAAGTCGTGCGAAATATGCACAGTGGTCTCAACGCAGAGTATAAACACGATGACTTTATTTAATTTAAATGTTTGATGATCCAGTCAATTATGGAAATGTGACATCAAACGGTCTGAAATGGTGGATTAATCAACATTCATGTGTATCCACTATCGGATAAATTTGTACATAGGAAAGTTTTGTCGCTTCACATTATTTGTATGAACAGTCATGGAAAAATTTAATATTTTAAAACCAACCGATTTAGAAATGTGTGTATCCAAACTTTTGGAAAAAATGCTGACTGCAGTAAAATAATCTAAGTGTGCGTTAAAAGATAGTTTAAATCTAGGAAGCTTGTCGATCAGAAGTGTTTTGCACTCAAAATTTAAATTTTATTATGCTAGTTGTGCATTCTTGATTACCAACGTAACATTTTTAGGATTTACGAAATCAATTTATTGTAACTGAGTCATGGATCATAACTGTACGCTTTGAGTTAGGTAGTTTTGAAAATTTCTGGTCATCTAATCAATCAGGGTCGTCACCGTATTAGAGAACATCATTCTGAAGTCGCAGACATCAATTTCCAAGGAGAATTTGTCTACCCTTTACACAGCAACGCAAAGCCAGGAGAACTGTCATTCTAATATTTCTTTTTTATTTCAATCAAATCTCCTAAGTCGATATTTAAGGTACCATCGATACATGGGGAATATCAAGATAAGAAGAAATTGAGTAAGAGAGAGTTGGTTATAACAATTTTATTAATTCTTAGCATACCTATCAGAAGAGAATGCTGTAAGAAAATGATACAGTGGAAATGGCTCTAATTTTGGCCTTTGGATCTGAAGATTTGGCCTATCGATAAACATCTCATATTCTTCAACTTTTCGAAGAACAATGCGTCATCTGGACAATACAAATGGATATTTTTGATTTCTAGTTTATCATTGTAAAAAAATGCGTGTTTTCGAAAATTATGTATGGGCCCAATATTAGGGACACTTGGGCCGACATTAGAGACATTAACCCTATTATCCCAACCCTTGTGAAAATCATATCCTTAGCCCTTAAATCATTTAAAATTATACTACCCACTCGAGACTAAAACAAAACAAAAATCATTTTTTTGTAATTCTAACAAATTTTGTTAAAACGATGTTTTAAATTTTAATTATAAAAAAATGTGTAACAATTTTGTTTCAAATGCTATGATGTGTTTTGTATCCTCCTTTTCTCACAAAGTGCTCAAAAAAGATTAAATCAATTGTTGTTATTTAGAATAGAAGTTGATATAATCGTGATAGAATTTTGTAATAACATGCTGGTCGGTAGTAGCTTGCAATGCAGGGTGATCGGCATCGAGGTTGATTAAAGGCTCAGAGGCTTAGACAACAGTGATCAAGAAATCTAGAGTTTCTGCTCAATATTGAATTGATTTGCATTAACTTATGTAGATTGAAACCATCTAGCAGAACACAATGGCATGTTTGATTGAAGATCATCAGTTGTTGGATGATCATTCATGGAAAAATTCCAAACCAGACTAGACTGGTTCTAGTACCAAATAATAAAGCAAGGTCGTCTATTTGGGATGGCGCAGCACTCACCGAACTGATATGGTTTTCAACGCAGCTTAAATAATATTTTCGGTATGGTTATGACCCATAGTAGATACCCGGAACACATTTGTAATATGGTTCGTTGTGATGTTGACGTAACAGCCATTGAGTTGTGAAGTGGATGGGTGGCTTTATTTAACGTTCCAGTAGAGATTATAATTAGGTGTTCCGTACTCACCACCAGAGAGCGAGGTGCCTTCGATCGTATCCCAAATAGCATTGCAAATTTAATAGTAATTTTAAAGCATGCTACATGTCTAAATCATGGTCTACGCACTTCAAATGTTAAGATTTACCTACTCTTTGCATATATATAGTAAGTTATGATCCTTATCTATCAATTACTTTAAAGAAAATCAATTTTCAATAACTGAGTGAAAAGTTATTAACAACTGAGCAGTTGGTGTGTACAACTGTGCATGCCAAGCATGTACAGAACCCTCATAAAACCAAAATTGTTACAACCCCCTAGAAATCAGCTTTATAATCGGCTTTGTATGAGAAATATGTAATATTTAAATAGATTGCACTTTGTCCGCTACATTATTTACAAGTAACAATATTTATAAACTATCTTTGAAGATAAATTGCAAATTTTCTGAAAATATATTGTTTATCTTGTTTATCTACTACTAGCGAGACGACATCTGTCGGATTTGATGGTGGAAAATAATACTCAATTGCAAACGATAAGTTGTAGTGCAGAACATGATTGAATTTGAAAAGACATTCATTCCAATGTGATAGCTAAATTATGCTAAGACAAATATAATTTACAAACTATGCACATCGGAAGCACGCCAGTTGCTTTCACTGTTTGAATAATAGAGAAAAATGTGGGGCAGACATGTGGTCAAAAGACTCAGTTCCAGTTGACAGATATGCAAATACAAGTTGAGCTGTAGTTTTGTTATCACATGCATATATGAGAGTTGACACCCAGCATCCGATGTATCCTATCACTCGAAGGCTATGGAAAGCTACCAATCCTATTGGTTACGATATTTGTACACATAATATGCATGAAGTGTCAGAGTTGACAGTGAATAAATTATATTCTGTCGGTCGAAGCTGTTTCACCACGTCTGTCGACTTTGGTAATCTGGTCTTGAGGGACTGGAAAGAAGCTCAAGAGCAAAAGTTCCGGAAGATGTTGAGGAATGAATGTGAAAAGCGGGTGTCATGAAGACGATTATAAGAATGTGTAGTATACGTGCAGACATGTCACAGTTCAAAGCGTCTCAACTTGCATTCTTCATATTCCTTCCTCATCCGGGCAACAATTTATATTTGTTTTCTATAGGGCTCACCTCGGTTCTCTTGTAGAAAATAGCAGGAAGTCAAGCTGCAGAACAGCACTGATGGGTCTTTTGCGGGGGCTTCTGTAGAGCGGGGAAAGTATTTTCCTTTTCCCGACAAGTTGGAGCGAACAGTGTGCGCATGAAAATTAATAGACTAGAAAATAATAAATGGAGCGAAGTTTTCCATCTCAACCGAGACACCACAAACAGCAGAGCACGTATGGCTTGTTGGTGCGACTTCTGCTGTGCGCGTGATGGAAGACTTGTCGCCCACATCATTAAACCCAATTCTTCAAATTTCAATTAAGAGCAATGGCTTTTCAAACGCAGCAGAATCTACCATTCATTAAATGTCTAAAGCATTGCTACTTTTGCATCCGAACAGAAAGTTCCTGTATTTTGTGTGTTATTTTTTAAGTCGTTCATGTCAAAATATGTACGTGATTTATTGTACACACCGCTCACGTAGGGGCTTGTCTCTGGCTTGGATTTAAATGTACATAAAAGTTTATAATTCTATAATAAAGCACTTGCGTCACTGTGATTGAATATACGGAATTCTGTAAGCGAAAGTTTGTTAGTCATTTGTATTTACTAGTTAAACTTCATCTTACAATGTTTCGTATATTATTCATCTAAGTACTACTGCATGGCGTTTGGATGAAATGTTTTATATGCCTTGTTGAGTGATTCTGACTATTTTCATTAGTGGAATAAAAGTAACTTTGGGGAATACTATTTTTTATCTGTATTATCTGATTATCTGATGGATGCAATTAACTGATGTTGTCTAATTTCTACTTTCTTTCAGGAATGATATCGTTCAAAGACAACAGTGACATGATTTTTCGGACAGCATTTTTTCTGCTATCTCCACACGTTCCAGGCGAAAAAGAGAGCAGCAAAGACAATAGTGATAATCAAAATAGCTTAGGTAACAGTGATAGTGCTGAGATAGATTCCAGTGCGTTTGATTTTGCCAGTGAGAGTGAAGATTTGCTAAAGTATTATAAAACACCTATGCAGTTCGGTACAGAAAACTCCACGGTGGTGACGTCCCAGGTGGGATCGACAGCTCATATACCTTGCAGAATACACCACATAGGAGAAGGCGTGGTAAGTAGTCACTTTTGTTTGTTTCCTTTTTCAAATTCCAGGTTTATCATTCCCTCATAAAATGTGCAGGTTAGGGTGTTTAAAATATCTCAATCGATTCTGAATCAGTCTGTGATCATTCTCCCAAAATTTTGAGCTCATTTGGTTGACCCACTAGCGCTTTGAAGTTTATATGAAATTAACTATGCGAATGTGAACTTTTTTCCACCTCATCCTAACCTTTCACCATAATGAATGAAGGATAAACCTGCTATTGGAACTTATAGGAAATTTTATCAGTTAAAAATTTGCTGTGATCGGAATTCTCGTACTGGTAAACTGTAAATCTGCTAAACTGTAAATCCGTCCATCTAGTGCATGGACAGCGAGAATCTCAAAAATAGCAATTGCTGTTCAAATTATCTTCCCATTCAAATCGCTTTTCCTGTGTGGCATCTAAATTTGTCCCAAAAGTCAACTGGATATTTATACCAAACACGGTGAATTTATACAACAGCTTCTTGAAAAGGCAAATTCTCGTGATGCAACTATTATTAGAAGGGTTTTTGCCACTCAATGCAGCATCCAAATAGGAGCTTGCTCTGGTCGAGTCCATATTTTTTCAATGTCTCTTGGAGCTAAACGAAGCCTTGCGACTATTTTTTTTTCATTACATCTCAATTATTGAGATCTTGGCTTTTCTTCTCCAAGCTCCTTTTCTTCTCCATCGGTATGCCGCTAGATCCGCCCAATGTTCTGCCGTCAGTTCGGGTTCAGACTGTTGGTTTTCAGCACGTCCATTTCCACTACCCCTTCATGCAGCACCTTTACCCTTTCCGTTGTTACCTGGCTGTTGCTGTCCAACTATGCATCTCCAGCCACTACATCAGCGTACAAGTTGCTGCCTCTTTCGTAACGGTTTTCTTCGCCCTTCTTTTTGTTCACATCCGGTTGTTTTCCAAGCTGCAGCTGCTGTTTCCTAGCCTTCCGCTTGGGACAGAAACTTATCCGGTGTCCCTCTGCCTTACAAAGAAACCATTTGTCCTTATTTCCCTTCCGATTTTGGAAATTAAGCGAAGAGGGAATCTTCTTTTCCACGTCTATGTAAACACCTCGCATTATGAAAAGACAAATGCTCCTGGTTATGCATCAGGGCATAATGCATACTTGCTTCCGATTTAAATTTGATGAAGATCGCCTTTTCCTTCGCATTGCGATAAGTGGCGATCATGTCAACAGGATTCATGTCCAACGACGAAGATGGTTATTGCTTCCATCACAGGCTTTGGGCTGCCGTTTGAATAGACAAAACAGTGTTTTTCCGCACATTCCTAACGAAATTATTGCTAAAAAACTATCAATACAGCGGTCGACACCGAGAGAAACAAGTGCTGTTGAACCCACAGCTGTTAAAAAAACTGGGAGTACATTGACAATCTGTAGAATAGTTTCAAGGGTAATCCATCGTCCTGCTAGACTTTTGTAAACTCTCTGAAAGGTTCAGTCCGTATTCCAGTGGACGTCACCTATTGTAGTCAAAGATTCTCCGACGATGCTAATTCTGAAAACATCTTGCCTGATTTTTTCCCGATCCGTTTACGAAGTCGATCAGACTCCACCATCGCAGCAATACACATCGATAAATTACCCAGCATCAATATTTGTCTGCAGCAGTTCAATTTCAGTCATGAAGCTATTCACAAAGCAATCAGCAAATATCATGGCAGCTCATAACGCTGCGCCTTTTACGGTGAAAGGGGACGCCATTAATGTTCTAAAATTCAAAAGCAGGTTTTTCATTCCTAACCAAAATTACGTTCATGAAAATGTGTTCATTGCATTCTACTTGCCTGCTGAAACATATGAAATGCATTCTCATTGACAGAGTTTAGGTTAAAATAAAAAAAAAACAGCTTTAGACTTTCCAAAAATTAATGACGTCCCCTTTCCCTTTCGCTCCATCAATTAATGTATGTTCCAGCCTGGAAATCGAATTAAACCACACAAACAAAAAGATGCGAATGACTCAGGGTGGCGACTTCTGGGAACCAGCAAGGTGAAGAAAGCAGATTGAACTGAGCACGATGCTCGAAAATTGCACCGCTTGAAATGATTAAAAAGCGGAGGAAGAGTAGTAGCGACCACAACAACAACATCAATTCTCACAATCATCGCACAAAAAAACAACAACCATAACACCAATAGGGGCCCTAATCGTAGTAACATGTTAGAAAACCGTTACATGAACCATATCAACAATCACAGCTACAATAACTACAACAACAACCAGAGTAAATTCAATATCGCCAGCAGACAGAATGGCACCCACCTACTTCCATCAGTTAGAGAGCTTCTTGCGGCAGGAAAAGATCGGTTTTCCAGACCGCCGGCTATCGACATAGAATCCAATTTCACCGAGGTGAAATTTAAATTCCGTACCTCGCGAGCGATGCATTTCCACGTTCCGTTCCGGTACGTTCACCCAATTGGGTGGCTTCAGCTGCATCATGCGAGGCGTGTTCATGCGGGCATCCGTGTTTTCCACTCACCCTTTGGAGGAAGATAATGATTCTACAGAACCCGACTTTATACAGCACTTGACGACTTCTCTACATCAAGGAGTGGCAATTAGTTTTAATAATTTTAATTTGTCGACGGACACGATCCAGCCAACTACTTCACCTCGAACAGAATTAGGAACAGAAATTTTGGTGTACTGCCAAAATTTCATTCGTATGAAAAGTCCGGCTAAGGGGGCTTTGAAAAAACGTGACTATTTGTAACATATGGGGGAGGGAAACTAATCTCAAATGTGACATCACATTGCTTAAGCGAAATTGGATAAAACAAAATTTGTCATTCAGAAACACACACATTTTCCAACGTATTTTAATTTTCAACATCAAAATTTTTTGTTAAAAAATATTCTTTTAACAGTTATTGATTAATTAACTCATCCATTAATGTCAGCATAATTGCAAGAACATTATAAAAGTTTTGAGAAATTCAGGGAAGTCCAGAAAAAGAGAAGTTCAAACTTCTTTACAGCAATAATTTGAAATCTTTGAAATCTTCAATAAATATCCGAAACAAACAAAAATCTATAAGAAATATCCAAAGCATTTAGAGATGCTTCAAAAACTTCAGAGTGGATCCGAAAACTACAGGAAAATTTAACGATCTCTAAGGCTAAGCTCTTAAAACTTCAGGTTAGTTTCATGAACTTTGAGAGAATTTTGTGAATTTATATGAAACTTTATAAGAACTTCAAGGAACTCCTGAAAACTTCAGGTTTGATAAACATCAATCTTTAGGAATGGTCTGAGATCATCAGAGCAGTTCCACACACAAACATATGAAATTTTGTGGAAACATCATGAAGTTTTGAAAATTTAAGGACACATTTTAGAACTTCATGGCCAATTGGTTAAAAATGCAGGAACTTAACAGAAATTTCCAAGAAAAATGTACAGTATACTTCAAAGAATTTGAGAGTCCTCTGAACGGCAGAAAAATTGCGAGACCTTGAATGAAGTTCAAAGAACATTAAGAAAAGTTAGAACACAGTATATTAGTTCCTTAAACATCAGAAAAAATTGTGAGAACCTTCGAGAACCTCTAAGTAATTTCAATGAATTACCGATATCTTCAGGGTAGTTCCGAGAACTTAAAGAACGTTAAGATCAACAGGGATGTTTTCAAATCTTGTAGGGTTGAATACGATAGCTTCAGGGAAGTTCCCTAGATTCCAGGCAAATTTCGAGAACTCTGTTTCATTAACTTTAGGAAAATTTTAGGAGCTCTAGTTGAGTTCAGATAAGTTTAAAAATCTTAAGGGAAGTTACATTAATTTAGGACAGTTCCATGAATATTAGGAAAACTACGGGTACTTCAGGGAAGTTCCGAATATTTCAGATACATTTCGAGAACTTAAGGGCAGTTCCATTAAATTCAGGAATATAGCGACTACATTCAAAATGTTTCAAAAATTAAAGATAGTGAAGAGAACATCAGGTAAGTTTAGTGGAAAATTAATTCAGATTTCCGTACGAGTGTAAATTCTTCCAACCAAGTGACGCTGCATGTAGACTCAGAACCGACATCAGTAGAAAGAATGAAGGATAAACTGAAAGGCAGCCGAACAGTTTTCCCTACCGAGGGAGAACCAGATTGAATGCATAAAAACCGAACGGCAACGATTTAAATAGCCGAGTGAGATATTATTTGGCACAGTGATTAAAATTCAAACTATTGACCATAGCAGTTTAACAGTAATGTGTGACGCTTACGTTGATGTTTTAAACCTTAAAACTTTTCTCCATGTTAATACTAACTTAAATGCGTGAATTTATATTTGAAGCTAAAAAATAAAAAGTGGTAATTTCTGCGAAATTCTCACTAAGCTCACTCAGTAGAATGCAATCGTAAAAGGCTCAGCATGCAAAAATAATAAGTGAGGAAATACACACTACTACACTCAAAATAATTCATGTTACGCTTTGCTGTCTGTTTTGCTCAATTATGCGTTCATCGAAGAAAATATCAAGCTCACAATTTCATTAGGCCCTAAGTAACATTGATCGATTCTCTTCGTCAACTTTCTCTTCCGTTAATAACTTGAACACATATCCGTTTGTATGTTGTATGCGTGTGAGTGAGTAGTAAATAAAAATGAAGGAAATTGAAACTTCACAGATGATTCGAGATATTCAAGGAAGTGCAGAAAACTTATTGAAGCTTAGAGATCTGTGTAGTAGATAGAGTTAGAGTTGAATAAATAATGAGTAGAATCGAGTGAGCGTGAAGCGTGATAGTCCGTATGTAAACGGAATCTCATTGTTTAGAGAATTTTGATAGGTTAGCAGGTATTAATATGAAGTACCTAAGCTCGTTGAAGTCATTCTTGTAACGAACCACCACCAGCAGCAGAAACAGCAGCAACAGAAACAGCAGCAATAGAAATTTTGGAGGTGACGGACCACCACCAGCAGCAGAAACAGCAGCAACAGAAACAGCAGCAA